AAAAAGTATAATCATACATTTTTTTGGATGGCAAAAAAAAAAATATTTTTTAATTTTATATAATTAAACACACACATGTATATAAACATGTTAATACCAAATTTGATCTTGGTACTAAAAATAAGATTGGATCTTGGATGCATAAAAAAAAAAATTAGGGTATTAGATGTACCGGAAAAATAAGATCACCCTCGTAAATGTACTCTCAAGAAAACTCGCGGTGGTCTTTAAAGCTGACTCTTTCTACGGTTGGTCTCCTCATCCTTATTATTCTTCTGGTGACTGGCGCTCGGAATTTTTCTTCTATTCTTTCTGTTACTTCTTCAACATCAATTTCTGGCCGGTCGACATAGAATGGTCTGGAGAATGGCACAGTTGCAAGGCTAGCTACGAGAAGTTGCCAGAAAAGTGGGATTTGCGTTGCAGTGTAAAAGCAAAGAGGTATGGAAGTGAGAGAAAGGTACAAAGGGATACACCTAGACGGATTTGCATTGGGTGCTCATCAGGTGACGAGCACCCAATGCTCATCACCCATCTGGACCGTCCAGATTAGATCTGGACGGTCCGGATTTATTTTTATTTTTATTTTTATTTTTTTAAAAATAATTATTTTAATAGGTATAAGATAAAAAATAAAGATAATCTTATAACTATCATTTTTTAAAAATATAATTTTTTTCTATTTTAAAATAATTATTTAATAATATTAAATCTGGACCGTCCAAATTAAATCTGGACGGTCCAGATTGCTCATCAGGTGATGAGTATTGGGTGCTCATCACCTGATGAGCACCAAATGGGAACCCCACCTAGACTTGTGGTTGGGATAAAGCTTAAAGACGTGGCCAGCACAGAAGGAAATCAACATGGAGACAAACAAGGAGAAAAAGCCAACAAGAAGTTTCAAGGGCAAAGCTCGACGATAATGCTCGTATTGATTACTTGGTGAAGAGTAAGTGGCAAGAAAGGCAGCCAAAGAAGTGATGGAGAAGCAAAAGGAAACAAGCCCGGTTATAGCAAACAATTGAAATGCAGCGGTGCTAGATCCTACAATTAGTGTGCCCTTTTGGCCGTCATAACCCCCTGGGATTTGCAAGCACGACGCAGACGTAACACTGGAAATAAGGGTGGCGGCAACCATGTAATTCCCACACATTTCCTTCACCCACTGGTTACTTTCTCCCAACATCCCTCGGTGTTCCTCCACGAAGTAAGCAGGAAGTAAGCAGGCATAAGTTTCTGCACATACTGGGAATGAATATTGTTAATATGGGATACATAGATGCAATTTAATAATGGCTTAAATTTCATCCAGCACTATCAACTACCACTTCAATAACACTATCCTAAACTAATTTCTCAAAAAATACTTCAACATGTTGGATGAGCTCCTTAAACCTATCATTCTGCAATAACAAGCTTTATTTTATTAGGTGGGATTGGTTATATGGATCACATGACATACTATTGTGTATCAACAACCGAATTTTTAGATCGGTTATTAACCAAATGGTCCCGTTCAATGATTTCATTGGTCTTGCCCTGTGCCTTTTTCAGATCACTCTATAATAATTAACTCATCAAATTAATGAAACTAACCTGAAACCAATGCACTTCCCACTGCAGTAAGTGAATGACAGACACGTACATAGTGGGATTAACAGAACGCTTTGCGGACAAGTGTAACGCAGTATTTCCCTTGACATCCTTTCCATGCCTGAGGCGCTTGTCATTCCAACTTGCGTGCTTCATCAATTCCTTCAATATTTCTGATTGCCTCGCCTCTATTGCCACCAGCACTATGTTCTTCTTCTCACTGGTTTCATCATATATCGCAGAAGGCTTTCGTCTCAGGATTTCCCTCGCCAACTCCGTCGCGCCGTTTCTAGTTGCGCTCAACAATACTGTCCGTACTTCTTCAGCCCCTTCACTCCATCAAATTCAAAAAGAAAGAAATTCAGACAAATTTCTTACCCCTAGTTTTAAATTAATTAAAAATATATAGTTTTGTTAATTACCGCTGTGTTCCCGCCGGTCTGCTGGCGGTACAATGGTTCGTGGCCCTTTGGATTCTTCCTCATGAGCCGACTTTGAGAGCATATCACGTACATCTGGGTCAATGACGGCGTCGTACCAAGATTCTCCGGCTACAAGAAGTTTCATGATCTTCAAACCAAGTAGGTGTCTCCGTATGTTCTCTGCATACAAATATATGTACATTAGTAACTCTTTGTTTGGTCAGTCATATATGTTTCTTATTATTGTGTGTCCATTTCATTAATCAATATAGCAAGCAGCTCAACTCGAATCAATTAATAGCTAGTAGGGTGCGTACTAGAGAATCTGAAAACAGCTTCAAAGGTACGAATATCATCTGTAACACTTTTGTCGGTCGGTTCCTCCTCATCCATCGTCATCTCTGGATCTTCAACATCGACAGTGCTTTCTTCTCCATGATTACGATCATCATCAGTGGGAGGATTGGGCTCTTCAGCATGAATGACTTTATGATGATGCATGCATGTATTCTTATGGTTAGATGATAATGATGGATCACACACAATAACCTTATTAGTTATTCTAACTTGAATAATTAAACATATATGGAAATAATGCGCTCGTACTCACAACGGAAGTAAAGTCTCTCCAACCAGCTAAGATGAATGCCGCTGATGAATGGAGAGGGAGTAGACGCGAGGATTGTCAGAGGTGACTCGCCCTTCTCATTGGTAAGGACTGAGATGGCTGGGCAACTTTGAATTATTATCAACGACAATTCTGCAAGTAGTGCACCAAAAGAATAAAAATTAGCTAGCTAGGTAACAAGTAGCCCTTATTTGAGAGATAGCTAGTTAATTCACTGGTGTGCGTCCGAAGTATTCTCTCTTAATAGTGCAATGAAGCATAGTGTCACCGTTGTTCCTTCTCCAATACCGTTGGCTATCATCACCGGCAGCACGGTGGAGAACGAGGAAGGCCTTTCGGTTATCATGAAGAGCAGCCAAGAAGAGAGGAGTCTCTCCGTTGTCACATTACGCACCCCAATCTGCAGGGTTCAATTTATTAATATTACAGTTGAGATTAATTCCCTTTAAGTAATGAAGTTGCACAAAGAAAGACATCATTCTTCTCATTACCAGTGATTTGTGGAACAGTTTTGTGATGCGATCACAGATGACGTCTGAGCCACGAGAGGCTGCGCAGTGAAGAGGAGTATTGCCTGTGCCATTTTTCAGTGACAGAACGTCTAGGGCTTCTTCAGCTCCCCGCCGGCGGGATTTGATTACACATATCAATCGTGTGACAGTAGTAATGTCCTCTGTCTCAATGGCCACATGCAGTGCCGTGTCTCCCCACGTGTTGATCCGTCTCTTCTGAATCTCTGGATCATTAATGTAAATTTCCACAACACGCTCCCATTTTCGATTCTTCACTGCAGAACGCAGTTCCATTTCGTCGATCGCCAACGATTCGAGCACTTCCATTTTGGGGAAAACAAAATGGAACTCTGCCGATTCAAACTAAAACTGATTTTACGACTATCTTATGTGGGGGTGCAAGGGATCGATGGATCGATCAGCAGGAATTAATTAATGATGACTGAGACCAGACGGGGCTTTGTGATGATTTAAGTAGGCAAGCTAAAGCCGTATAATATCATGGCCCCATGATGGGAGGAATATTACTTTCGTCTCATCCGTTGGAAAGAATATATATTATAATAACCTTGAAAATCTTAATGTGGGCCCCTTTTTCATATATTTCAACTTGTCTCCTTTAAGATCAACATAAACAAGCTGCACATCGGTGTGGCTTTACCAAAAGAAAAAAGAGGGCTTTGCAATTCATCTTATCATGCAAGTTTCAATTTGACGGTAAATAACACTACTTCTGGTCTTTACCATTAAATTTGAGTAGATTAAAAAGTTAGGTAAGTTTATCAATTATATATAATACATGTGATTTAATCTTTCAAAAGTATCCCTGTGTAATATTAGATTATATATCAATTTATAAAATGTCTAAATTAGTTTAAAAATGATAAATATGAGAAACAAATTAAATGGACCGAGCTGTTATATATTTATGATCAAATTCAAATCCTAATTAGTTCCTATACTAAAAATTAGAGGGAGTATCACTATATGTATACTTTGTTTTTTTTTTCCCATTTTAAGGGATATTTCAAGTATAAGTTTTTTAAAGTAAAAATAATGCTTATGCTTCCCGCCTGTTCAAGGAAAAATAAAAAGATACCTGATGAGAAAGAGAAAATTAAATGACACGTTTGTTTGTTTGCTTTTCGTGTTTCATGCATGTCTTGGATGATTTTGATTTTCTTCTTCTCTTTCTGTTTTTTTTAAAAAAAATATGTCTGTTTCTTTTTCAAAAAAAAAAATGCTTATGATTCCTGCCTTCAGTTCAAGGAAAAATAAAAGATACTGATTCCTTTCAAAAAGGAAAGAGAAAGAGAAAATTAAATGACACGTTTGTTCGTTTGCTTTTCGTGTTTCATGCATGTTTTGGATGATTTTGATTTTCTTTTTGTTTCTTTTTCAAAATTTTTCTTGTTTTGGGACCCTTTGATCATCATCTTCATCTTATTATATCTGGATTGTTCAAACATGATTTGGGCCGTTGATATTTGATTTCGTTTCCATCTAAAATAAAAATAATTTTTTAATTATTATTTTTTCAAAAAATATTTTTATTTAAAAATAATTAATTAAAAATTTTTAATCTAGACGGTTGAGACATAATGAGTTTGGGATTTATCACCTGAGTTGGTGAAATTGGATACATTTGTAGACCCCACAAAAAAACCATTAGCAAAGTTCTATTTTGACCTAAAACAAAATAAAGTTATTTGTAGATAATCAAATACTACTGTGTCACATAATAAAATTCTCTTTATTTTGCAAAGAAAGCATAAAAGCTATTTAAACCTCTCTTCCAATGCCTCTGCGTCTTCATTTTTCTCCTTGTTCTTCCCTTCGTCTTTATCTTTCTTCTTCTTGTTCTTCTCCTCTACCTCTGGAGAGTGGCACACGAGAAAAACTAGCTTTGAGAAGACGCCGATGGAGTGGAAATTGAGTTGCCCCGTAAAAGTAGGGAGGGATCAAAGCCAAGCCAACGTACGCGGGGACATACACAGACAACTTGTTTATGGGGCCAACAAGTTCAAAGGTTTGCGCAGCACAGAAAGAAATCAACATGGTCAAAACTGAGAGAAACAGAGAAGATAAACCCAAGCACAGAGTCCGCGGCAGATGTCTTCGGTAGGGATCGGGCCGATCACTTTGAGAGCTGTAAATGGCGAGAAAGGCGGCGAGGGAAATGACGGAGGAGCCAAAGGAAACCAGTGCCGTGATAACAAATATGAGGAATTCATAACGGTTGCCTACAATCGGCCTGCCGTTGCCTTCGTCGTAGCCTCCCGGGATCTGGTAGCACGTTCCAAAGGTAACGCCGGACATAAGCGTCGCCGCCACTATGTAATTTCCGGATATGTCCTTCATCCATTGGTTACTTTTTTGCACCAGATCATGGTGTTCCTCCTCGAAGACCATCACCGGCGTTTTGCCTTCCTTATTTTTCCGTTTAATGAACTCCGGCGGCATCATTTTCTTCACATACTGCATACATAAATACAAACGTATGTACAGTTAAATGATAGCTACAAATTACTGGTATTAATTAAGCTAAGTGATCATATATATTTCACCGGTACTAAATATAAAACCCATTGTGTAGTGTAAATTACACTATAAAGTGGGTCTTATATTTAAAACCGAAGAAGTATATGTATACACACACCTCAAACCAGCTGATTTCCCATTGCAAGAGAAGGACAGACGTATCCATAAGCCTATGACGAGAAGGCTTGGCGACCAAGTGCAGGGCAGTATTGCCATGGACGTCGGATGCATGGTGAAGCTGCCGATTCCAGATGGATGGGTTCTTCTTGAACTGCTCCAATAGGATTGACTGTCTCTCTTCTACCGCCACCAACATGACATTCTTCTTCTCATCAGTTTCATCCTCAATTGCAAATGGCCTTTTTTCCAAGATTGCCCGCACCATTTCGGTCGCACCATGTTTTGTTGCTCTCAACAATGGTGTCCATCTTAATAATGATGCTGCATGCGCATGCATACTTATTATCAGTTACCCACATGTAGACAAAAATAATAAAATTAATTAAATAAAGTCATTTTTTTAATTTATTTTTAGGATCCAAGTACCTTGATATGAAGGACCTAGCGTTGGTAAGTTCGCCGGATGATCGTCATCCCTCCCCAACAACTCCATCTCCATCAAATCATAAAAAAAAGCGTCATTGTCTACCAGTTGTTCCATGATCCGCCCACCAAATACATGTCTTGGTGTCCATCTTAATAATGATGCTACATGCGGATGCATACTTATTATCAGTTACCCACATGTAGACAAAAATAATAAAATTAATTAAATAAAGTCATTTTTTTAAAATTTATTTTTAGGATCCAAGTACCTTGATATGAAGGACCTAGCATTCGTAAGTTCGCCGGATGATCGTCATCCCTCCCCAACAACTCCATCTCCATCAAATCATCAAAAAAAGCGTCATTGTCTACCAGTTGTTTCATGATCTCCCCACCAAGTACATGTCTTCTTTTCTTCTCTGCCAACCACGGACAGAAATGTTAAGCTTTTGAGTCATTTTTTTAATCGTAATTTATAAAATATAATGTAAATATATGTGATGAGTTTTATTTTGGCTTACATAAAACGTATGTGATTAAAAGTGCTTATGATCATAATTCCAGACAAGTCCTCCTACTTCCATGTGTAAATCCTTCTCAACTAATTTTCACGTATAGTTAAATTATAACTCAATATGCCTCAAATTGATAATTTTTTTCCCAAGTTTATTCTTATTAAAATTCTCTCCCTGTATGTATAAATAATTTTTAGGGAGAATTGCAATTAGGTCCCACTCAAGGGAATTAAATAACAAAAGGTCCCTTGAAATCATGAAATTATTCTGAAGTCTCAAGGGACTTTTTTGCAATAAATTTTATTTGTTTAATTACCAAATTGCCCTTTATTTTTTAAATTTGCATTGACAATTGAAAGAGCAGTGGTTGACAACTCAGGGTGTAGGGATTGACAACTATCGCGGCTGGTTTGATAACTTATAATGTGATATGTTGAGAAAATATATTGTCAAACCAGCCGCGATAGTTGTCAATCCCTGCACCCTGAGTTTGTCAACCACTGCTCTTTCAGTTGTCAATGCAAACTTAAAAAAAAAAAGGGCAATTTGGTAATTAAACAAATAAAATTTATTGCAAAAAGGTCCCTTGGGACTTCAGAATAATTTCATGATTTCAAGGGACCTTTTTGTATTTAATTTCCTTGAGTGGGACCTAATTGCCATTTTCCCTAATATTTAACTCTGAATCTTCTTTCTTTCTTTTCTTTCCAATGATAATTAAATAAGAGTAAGACTGAAAAAATAATTATTAATAAGTAATAACCCTCCAAATGTACTTATGTTTCGAACTAAAAGTATTTCTTCTATAAGCAACTTATAATAAGGAGTCGAATATTGGTAAATGAAAAGATCTAATTAAGCATTAAAATTAATAATTAATTACCTGTGGTACTTCTTAAAAAGGAGAATCCGAAAGGAGCTTCATGGGTGGGAGGCTGATCAGGTTGTCCAGCAAAATCCGGGAGGACTTCGGAAATCGGAGTATGATCATTACGTCAGCAACATCATTTTAATTAAGAAAAATTAATCTTCTCGGCTGCTTTAACTTTTAAGTCAGTCATGACCAGTGATGTAATTATGTTGAGTACGACTCAGTTTCTAAATATTTAACTGCCTTCAAAATGTTAACAATTTAACATTGATTCCCTTTATAAATTTTTCCACTCAAAAAATTAAAAACTCCTTTTAGAAATTTTATCCTTGTCATCCATTGCTGTATCCAACTTGGCCAGGGGGGGGGGGACAAAAGCTGAATGAGCGGCCGCATCAGACATGACTTCGCATGAGGAGAGAAGGTGGGGTGGAAAATTATGACCCAAGGAATCCTAACTTTAATTCACTTTTTTTTTTTTACTTTGTAACTTACTTTTTAAAATACTCATATTAATTAAACATATCAAAGGATTTTTATTCAAAAATAGTCATGATTATAATGAAAAGAATACTTTAAGAAAATAAACTTATATTTATTACAAATAACTATCTTAAATAATTTTTTTTATCTATTAGTTAGTTTAGTAACTCTTATATTAAAGGTCAAAGATAGTCATTAATTAATAAGAATAAAGCTAAATAAAAAAAATAATTAAAATTCTAGATGGATTGATGGAGGTGGGCGCACTTACAGCGGTAAAAAAGGTTCTCCCACCAACGAAGGTGAGTGCTACTCTTAAATGCCGAAGGAATAGAGGCCAGTATGTCCAGAGGTGCCTGCCCTTTTTCATCGATGATGGAAATCATGTCGGGAAGGAGATGCATTAATAGTAATGATAATTCTGCATTAACGATGAATTCAATTCAATTACTGCCTCTGGTATTAATATAAGATCTAACTTGATTTTTATTTTGATCATAAATGTAAGACCTCAATCTACTTTGTCTCTCATATTTATGTATTTTTTTATTAGTCTTTCTAATAATGACAGTTTTAGCCAATACACTTAATTAGTAAGAATATTTTAGGAAAGACAACAGCTACTTATTATAAATAACTAACTTAACTTATTTTCTTAATCTACTCAAATTAGTCAATGAGCTCTTATATTTAGGATTGAAGATACTATATTGCTATATAAAAAGCTAGATAACTAACTAATTTATGAATATTAAGAAAATTAGTAAAATTAGTCCTTTGAAATAAATATATGTTATTTTTCTTGGCACAATCTTATTAATGACATGTACTTGAATTACTATAGTAACTCCTTAACATGCGTAATCACCATAAAAATCACTCAAAGGCAAAATAGATAAATATTAAAAAAAATTAATTTGGGTGTTATATTTATGACTCAATTAATTTTTTAACTAATTCTTATGTTAAAAATTGGAAGTAGTATATACTTCAGTACTATTTATCAAGCAAAGGATTCCATTAACTAACTAAACCATCATGGAATGTAATTTTGAATAACGTATTATTCCATTCCATTTGATCCTAAACAAACAATACCTCTAGTCCAAAATATATTAGTCATTTTTAACCATATCATCATCATTAGAACTATGGAAGAAAAAATAACTTGTAATTAAACCCGCGTTCAATTGAAATTCCCACCCCCCAACCCGTATTAAGGATTTGAAAGAAAGAGAGACAAATATGAGGAGTTATATTTAAGCATTAATTAAAGCGATAAAATTAGCAAATAAGTATTCATTATTCTCAAAATAATTTATACCATGGATTAAAACAAATTTTCTAAAAAAGTAACTTAACATTTTAAGTGAACGGAGTAGAAGATCTAATTAACTAACTAATTTTTAAAATAAGTAAAATCACAGACCGAAATACTTTCGTTGAATGGTTAAGTGAAGTGCAGATTCCCCATTGGGCTTCACGTAAGGAGCTGTGGCATGCTCAGGTTCTGCATAGCCATAGAGAAGGAGGAAGGCCACCCGGTGACCATGAACAGCAGCCAAGAACAAAGGCGTCTCTCCCTCGTTGTTACGCGCCAGAAGCTTAATAATCAACATTCAATATCATCATCATCATCATCAATAAGTTTTAAATTTTATATAAAACAAGAGACGTCTCAATATATACTATGAAGTAATGCGAGTTTAAATTTTTTGGGCTAATGTAATTTTTGGTAACTCAAGTGCGTTCTCATTTTAGTTCTAGTTTTTCAAGTTTTAAACTATAGGTTTTGGTGATTTAATGGGCAAGATGGTTCAAGTTTTTCTTGAATTATAAGGACTAATATTTTAAATAAAAAGAAACTTGAGAGATCTAAAGCAAAATAAAAACAAACTTGAATGACCAAAAATTGTATGAACCTAAATTTTTCAATGATTTTTTTTTTAAATATCTAAAACTGCACAGTTAATACATATATTTATATATATATATAAATTGTGAAGAATTCAAAACTGCAACATTAGATATCAGAATGTCACCTACTTTTTGTAAAATTTAATAATGAATAGGGAAAAAAACATTTGAAAAGTTGAAGCAATAGAGATGGACGCCCCTTGCCGCTCTCTATGCCGGTTACACTCCGCAATGTTAATAGTTAGAGTGAGATATTCTAACCACTATTTTGCTTTGATTACACATATTTTCTCTCAAATTAATATATATATATATATATATTAGCTGAGACCATTAATATCGTCAAAAAATATTTTTTTTAAAAAAATAGAATCATGAAGCATGCATGTTTCTAATTAAAAACAGAATAATTAAAGATTCAATCTCATCATGCACATGCGTGTGCATCAAGTAATCAATCAAAGAGATTGAATTAATTACGGCGCGGGTTCTGTGTTGCGGGCTGGAAAGGGCATCAAGGATGCGGCGACACAACGGGGAAGAGCCCATAACGGCGGCGCAGTGAAGAGGTGTGTTGCCCCACTGATTCCTGGCTGACAGAATCT